TGATTGTTGGCATCACCATTTCTCGTGGCTCGTTTGTGTTCAGTCAGTCTCGTGTTAAGGTGTCTGCCAGTCTCAGCAATGTAGGAAGCCTGGCAGTCGGAGCATTTGATCTGATACAATTCGCTTAGTTGTGGCGTACTAGAAATAACTTAAGTTTTGTTGTATGTACAAGAAAACTGAATCAAAAACTGGTGAAGGAAAGTCTAAAATTATGCTAGATTTGACACCACAAATAGCCGAGGACATGGATGGCCATGTACACTGTTTCATTTTGTAAGTAACTTACTGAATCGGCCGGGAATTGTTACTGTAAACGATCAGCTTCTCCGACAACAGAAGGTCAATCTTCATCTGGGTTATCCGTCCAGTTAACATTGGCTGACTTTTCAGCTTTAGAAACTTACAACTCGAATCTTTTTTCGATTTAATTAGATAACCATGCAACACAAATAAAGTGAAAATTGATACAGACACATATAGACAGAAGGATGCTATTTGAAAAGAGACGTTGACTTAATGTTTTATTACGAGTTAATAATGCTTTTTTTTAGTTTGTAATGACTTCTATAAAAATGATTGTCTCTTTCTTCTTTTCTAAAGCCCTCCATTCTCGAACAGTTGCATCTACTCCTGGTGAGTATTCTTTTGATGCTGTTAGAAAAGGAATTGAAACTGTACTTTCCACTTTACNTTCTAAAGCCCTCCATTCTCGAACAGTTGCATCTACTCCTGGTGAGTATTCTTTTGATGCTGTTAGAAAAGGAATTGAAACTGTACTTTCCACTTTACATGTACGGCGGGGAAAGCACATATGATATTGTTTTATAAGGTAGATAAGCATTTTTCAGGACTTGACTATGGCCTAATTTACGCCGCGCTGTGTTACTAGCAGTTCTAAAGGTTTGACCCTATTCCATGGGGGGCATTCACATCAGTGTCTTTCTGTTGTAACGATTTTGGGTAACTATAACTAACGAGCTTTCTCGCACTGTACCTGTCAAGGTATCTCAAGAAATCAAAAGTGGCGAGGCGTGGTTATCTTATATAATCAGGCATTCTGATTACATCTGACTAGTTTTTCTTTACTTTGTGATTAATTCATTAACTGACTAGTTTATTTGTCTTATCTCCTCTTATGAAGTCTTCCAAGTCACACCTACCTCTTGTAAGTAATCTTTGGGTTAAGTAATAAAAAACTTGTTTGCATTATTTTCGCTGAATGTATTAGCTGGCTGGCAATATGTGTTGCCGTTAGCAGGATGTTGCTGTATAATGCTTCAAAACTGTCTGATAAAATCTATTGAATTTCATGTTGTCTAGTTGCTACTATTTTTGTATTTGTTTGTTTCGTGGGTTGGTCTCCAGTGCGATGCACAAACTTTATTTTGCT